AAACGGAGAAATTCCCTAGCCGCAACCACGGTCCTTTTCTTCTTCACCACCAATGTTGATATTGGTGATCTTGTTCGCATCTTAAACCTCTGTAACCACCCAGAGGAAGCATTAAAGGTTTTTGGGCTCTGCTGTTCCCATCTTTGTGACACTGCAGCATACAGTTCACGTGCGTGCTCATAACAAGCGCCTGTCCACATATGTTCCGTCGCGCCTGGCCGCACCGTGGCACAAGTAATTTTCCGTCTTGAAAGCATGGCGTCACCAGTCGTAAAGCACCTGTGGGCTTCATGTGCTACTTTATGTTAGCTGCATCCTTCTTTATCGTCCGGATCGTAAGATTACGTTCACCACTGGTAGCATAAATCCAACTATGTTGTTCTTTCTCTAACTCTTGGATGATCTTGTACTTCACCTCGTAGCTTAAGGGCGTCGTGTCTTCTTGGGCTTGAGGCGGCTGGGTCCAGAGCAAGGGGGCGGTGGTCAGCGAGCTATTTTACAGAACAATGGATGCTGCGATTGCAGTGTGGAGAGGATGAAACTGCAGCGGCTAGGCCAGCGTCGTCTTTCCTCCTCCCTCCCTCCCTCCTCCTCCCTCTCCCCGGGTGGGCCATCGCTGGCCAATTACAGCTAGCAGCGGAGGGAGGTAAGGATGCATGTGCATTACAGTCGTCGTCATATGACGTCACTGATAACATAACAAGACATGCGCCATAGCCACATGGCGGCTTGCCCAGGCGGGCGGGGAACAGGCGGGAGGGTGAATCTAAAAATAGCGTCGAGGCAGGACACATCGCGTAAAGGCTACGCACCCGCGGTCTTGGTATCAGGTTCCGGCAGAAGGTGCGATGTAAGCGTGGAAAGCGCGGAATGTGGGACGCGTAAAAGTGAGGAGTTGACTGTATCTTAAACTCTCATTTTCTCCGCTACCTTGAACTCCATTATCTTTGTCGGATCATCAGTATGGCTTCGCCAGAAGCGAGATCTACTAGTGATCTGCTCTCCTACACCATCTTTGGTCATCCTCTCTTAGGATTATGGGGAAACTTCGCCATGGCCCTCGACATCTCAAGTATTTGACCCAGGGTATGGCACAAGTGTTTGCTTTCTAAACTTCTTTCATATGGTTTCTCTCCACACTTTGTTCTCCTAATGTCTAGCTTCCTTGAGAACGATCTATAGTAGTTGATGTAAGTGATCTCTCCTCTTTCTCAACCAATGGTACCCCACCGGTTCTGTTCTTTACTATTCTTTTCCTTCTTTTATCAAGAGATTTACTTCACACTATGACTAATTCTATCCATTCTTCGTGATGATTCTACTCTTCTCTCTTCTTCACATTTTCAGTTTCCCCTAATTCTCCAAACTAGATCTGTTTTTTAGAGCTGATATAATTACATCTATCTGTGCAGCTTCTCCAGATAGGTAGAAACTTGGTTAAATTCAATAATAATGAAACTCTGATACCAGTTACACTTTCCATTACTATGATCTCCCAGCAATCACATTTCAGGATGCAATCATTCTGCAAATTCTAAATAGATATGCTAGGCCTCACCATTTCTCTTATATGTCATGGAAGTCACACATCCTCAACATTGCTAAAGCTGCCTCCCAAAAAGCTTGAATGCTGGCACAGATGCGTATGCTTCCTCCTGAATGGTTGCTAAGTTTATAAAAGAGCTTCATCTGTCTAACTTGAGTACTGCTCTGCAGTGTTTCCTTTGTCAACTGTTAGGTAGGGGTGGAATGAAAGGCATTTTGTCATTGTCTCCTCCTTTTAGTTGAATATCTTTCTTCCCTCTCTCTTCTCCTTGTGTTGCTTCACTCTCTCTTTACAGTTACTTTACTTGAACAGTGTTAGATGGATTTGACATCCTGCGTACCGCCGACAAAGGCAGGCTCTGTGTACCTAGTCTTGCCCAGCGGTGCCCACCGTTTCTATATCGAATATCGATCCTTTGAATAACCCATTATAGTGTTACATTTTCTTTCCTCACACAATCAAACTCATGCAGATATCTGCCTTCTTCTTGTGTTTCCTAAATTTTTAAAATCAGTCTCACTTAAAAAGCTGGTTTCCGGCATCTTCATAGATGTAGATTTTGACTTGTGCCCCTGTGTGTTAGTTCCTGTAAAAAAAAGCATATCTCTTCTTACATGTCATTTTGCTCATAGATTCTTTTCTTTTATTCCAGTAGATCATCATATTCTATATATAACCTTAGATTTCTTAATTTTTTGTTTAGATTACACATTAATATTTCAGCTTACAGAGCGTGCATTAAGTCCATCCTTGATGAGCTACCCTCCAGTAACATCTGTGGCCACATATCCTGCAGCAATAGACTTAAAGTCCTACAGAGGCTAACAGTACCATCCGATTGGGTCTGGCCATCCCTAATCCTTTGGGCCTGTGGCAACTCCTTCTCCAGGACCTGTGTCAGTGGGGTCTCCTGCCTCCCAGGCTGGCCAAGCTCAAGTAAAGGTGTGTTTACACATACATATGCACAGTATACATGTGTGTGTGTGTGTGTGTGTGTGTGTGTGTGTGTGTAATTATAATAATAATAATAATAATAACTTTATGAAAGAGCTAGATCCAGAAGGCTGAAAATATACAGTTACATATCTAGAATGAGTTTCCAATTACAAATAATATACAAAAACATAAGTGATATAAATAAGATATATAATAACTAGATGGGAAAAAGCAAATACAAGCATCAACATAGAATACAAAAAGTAGTATTTACTGGGAGTGAATACACTGGTTTATTAAGGTTATTGATAATTTTTACAATGGTTAACATTGTTTTATAGCAATCAGTTCGTGAACGATGGATGGTGTGTCGAACAGCAATTCTCGGGGCTAGGATCTCAGGTGGTAGTAGAGCCAGTCGAGGATGGTGTAGAAGCTTCTTGCCAAATTTGGAGATGAGGTCGTGGTGATGGTCAGTGAGAGTCGAAAGGTCAGTGTGTTGAGCGCTTTGATATGTGGAGAGGAAGGAGAGAATGATCTTGCATGCCCCTTTAGCGAGGAAAACGGACCTCAGATGGGGACTCAAATAAAGAAAGCATAGCTACATGTTTGTGGACTACAGTATTGAGCTACCATTTTCATCACTTTGTAATAAACCTAGCCATGCCTGTGTGTGTTTCTGATACTACCATAACATTATCTATATCTTTAATGGGTCTAATGTAAATGGGAAAATTGAAGGTCTTGGTTCTGGAACCATTAGAATAAATCCATGTTCTGTATTGCTATCGCATTGCTATCGCCAATTAAGCAGTCCCAACTAAGTGATAAACAAGGATGACTGTATAGGAAATATTACAAAATTAAGATAATTTTGAGGCAGTTTCATTATACATATAGTCTTCATTTACGCGGTCAATTGAACCCGTGAGGTCCAAGTGAAACAAGAAACGCGTAAACTAAATAACAGAACATATGGGATTAATTGAAATAGAGACTGGGCCACCCTCAAACTACACTTTTTCCGACGCAATAGTACGCTATAGTAAAAATAACATCTAATTTGGTATGAAAATAACAATTAATATTTAAGAGAAATATCAATAATATTAGTTTTTTAACACTTACTTGCAGAAAAGATACCGCACACAGGATGGGGTTGGTTCCGAGGCAGAGAGCAGATTATTGGCCTTCACCTGTATCAATTGTATCACTATCACCACAGAGGTTTGCAGGGCCTTTGTCAAAACCCCTCAAAAGTCCATATCCTCACTATCACTATCATTGACTTGGGCTGGCTGTGGTGGGTGATGGGTGAAGAACTCGGTAATGTTTTGTTGACTGATTACCCAAAGACTCCTGCCTTGCGCCGCCTCCCAGCAGAATGATGGAATGAACCAGTAAATAAAAAATTGTCGGTCCGGCAAGGTGCCAGAAATGACCCAAAACGTGCAAACCAAACTCCAGAAACTCAGACTATACTGTATTGGGGTAATTTATAGTTTTGCTAATTTGATTGATCCAGAATCCCAATGATATTTAATTACAAGAGAAGTTTAGTTTGCAGTGTGTTGCAAATTATAGCGTGGCCTGACATTTCAGTTTTACTAAAAGGAGATGTAAATTGAGGCTATGACTATATACATTGGGTGGCTGTTGTAATAAGAGAACAGACAGAGGAAAAAAACCTGTACTGCATAAAAGAAAATGTAAATGTGAGAAAAGAAAGTTGAGAAAATAAGAGATGATGCTGTTTACTGAATTGTGTAAAGTGGTGCAGTATTAGTATATTGTATCACCAATAAACATGTGTTTGTTTATGCAGTGAAGGAGTGACAGAAATATTGCTATTCCTAATATGTACAGTAAGCCCTCGATAACCTCGCACAAATGGAGCTCTGGCCTTGCTGAGTTATCCCAAATTGCGGTTTTCGAGGCACTACCTCCTACAAAAAATACAACAATAAAAAATTATCAGCCCATTTATCTGCACATGTAATTACTAAATATAAAGTAACACTTGCCAGCACTGCAGGCAAAGAATGAAGCAATCATAGGTGAAACAGATACATGGTAGTACACAGAGTACATGGTAGGTGACACAGAGGTATGGTAGGTGATGCAGGTAGCCAGATATGCCGAGATTTTCCCAGATAATTTTATATATCTCGGAATTTTAATTATACTAATATTCGATACCATATCCATGCCAAGTTATATGAAATACCGAATTATCAAACGTCGAGTTATCGAGGGTTTACTGTATATTTGAATACTATAAATGGGGTAAGGTTATGTAGAGAAACCAGAGAGATGGAGAATATTGGGAATTTTTGTTAGCCATTTGTTCTGGAAGAGGTTTCATTATAACTTCTACCTCACTTGCCCATCCATATATCAGAAACAAAGTACAGAATTGAATTACTTCTAAATTCCGGAAAGTGATGTTGATACTACAAAGAAAGAAGAACCTGGAGAATGTCCTTCATTTTCTTCAACTGGGATTATATACAGATGGTGAGAGCGGGTTCTGTAACCCAGGTGGTGGTTCATCCCACACCCAACACTCAGCCCATGAACATCCCCAACCAGCAGCCAGGTGAGTGGTATTTATCATCAGTGAAAATCATGTGTGTCAAATGACTTTATTCTTTCCTGTTCAGTGTTTACTGTTACCAACAGTATCAGTTGTTGTATACCAGGGATCCAAATCCCTGAAAAATTGGGATCCTTTGTAAAAAGATTGAGTCTCATTAGAAGATAGAGGATTAAGGCGTAACATATTCCAGAATTTGACAAAGAAAATGAGAGCTAAATGGCTTCTGATGAATTTATCAGTTGTATTAATATTACAGATGAAAAAGAACTTGGTTATATCCACCAGTAAAGTCTTTTATTTAAATCAACGAGAAAAGAGCTACCAGAGGCATCTTATTCAAACATTCATACCATATTAACTATGAATTATCATTTGTTTGGCCCATAAAAGGCTTCACACTTATTAACTTCGATTTTTAATCAAACTATAAACATCATACATTAAGTTTTCATTAATGTTTTTGTAACGGGTTTCACTCTTAAATCTACGGTGGGATAATATTTATTTTTTCCTCTGCAATTTTTTTTTTTAATGAAACCTTATAAATTGGTGTCTGCCTGTATAGTATATGACATTTATAATTACAGTTTCATTTCTTATTATACTAACTTTTTCATTATGTCTTTTAATCATAGAATTGTAATATAAAGACTTTCCTTGTTTGATTTTGAAAATTATTGTTTCAGTTCCTCTTGTTCGAGGTCCAATGGCTGGAATGCCCAGAATGATTGCTCAGCTCGACAACGGTGGCCTGGAGGTAAGATTTGCTAGGCACAGATGTTGAGTTTATGTGCTAGATATATTTTCTGGCTTGACACTGTCAGGCAGTTCCTGCCAGTTCAAGCTGTTTTGGGATCTAAGCATCACCCCTTAATAAGCTTTTTGATTACAATCATTATCCATCACGAGGGGTATTTGACCGTCCATGCTTTACTCACATCCAACCTGAGTAACACACCGGCAACCCCTGCGAGTGGATATTATAGGAAAGTGTATAGGTTCAGTAGGAGATGCAGGGGTAGGAGGGATAGAGTGGGAATTGTCTAAGGTGGAATTAGAGGAGAATAAGGTGCCAAAGAGGTTGGCTTTGTCAGGGGGAGAGCTACTATAGAGTTATCGGGTTGGAAGTGGGGAGGAAATGAAGGAGTGCAGAAGTTGTTACAGACATTTTAGTTAAGGACCAAAAGGATTTACTAGAGGAAGAATTAGTCAGAAAAGCCTTCTTTTAATAAAATTCGCTTTGGCCCTACGAAGAATAGCCTTACAATCGATTCCTAGAAGTAATGAAAGAGGTGGGAAATAGAAGAGATAGTTTCATAGCTCGATATGCCCTATCTCTCTCCCTGCAAGCAAAAGAGCAGGAGCGATCAAACCATGATTGTAATGTGAAAGTTTGGTAGAAGTTGGGATAAATGTACTGCACTTCCTGTATAACCCCAGTAATGCTGTCAGCACGCATCGAGTTCCGGTGGAAAGCAACATTCATCCCAAGGAAAGTCGGTGAATACAAGGATTGCCAGTTTGCCTCCGATAGTGCCATAGTGGAAACACCCTGTCATGTCTCTGGAACAAGAAACCCTCACAGCTATGTAATTAACCCACATTTAGATAATACTACTGTCAATGAGACAGGGCTAATACACTTATCTGCCTTCATCTGGGAGCCAGGACTCAATGATGGCTGCTATGTAGATGTTATATCTCTCCAGCTCTTTGCCACAAGGGCAGTTCTTTTTCAGGATGTGCATTTGCACAGTATCCAGAAGGGTCCTGAACATGCAGTGACCATAAGAGGTTGTATGGTTTGTTTTTGTTTGATTCTGTTTGATCGCATAAGGCTGACCTTACTGGGTGCGGCTCCAGTCAAGTTGGGTTTTTAGGCAGGCTATGTTTAGGGCAATTTTCTAGCCCCTTCCCATGTGGTGAGCAGAGCAGCTCCCAAAGGGCTGCTGAGTTGCACAGACAGGACCTGATTGCACTGCTACCTCAGATCCCAGGATAAACGACCATCTTATCTGTGCTGCCCATGTTCAGAGTTGTGACTAGAGACTCCCGGCAGTCATCTTCTGCCTGTCCCTGCCGCCATAAGACTTTGGGGGTATAGGGTTTTGATGATGATGAGTGGTATGATGAACTGGGTGATGGTTGATTTATGGTGAGGCAGGAGCGAGGCTGCAACCACACATCTTGGTTCTCCCTTTTCCTGACCCACTGGCAAGTGTTGCAACGACTGGGGAGAGGAGAGTTGCAATGGACTGCCGATAGCCCAGTTTGTTGGGTTTCACCTTAGTAGCCTGTCCATCAGACATTGCCTTTGCCTGCCGTGTAGTCGGGGTTTCCATGGTGGCTCTTCCGCCTATACTGCTGTTGGGGCCTGGCATTCTGTAAGCATGTCTGCCTGATGCTGGGCTCTACTGTAGGTTTTTCGTTTGGGGTTTACTCCCGTAGCCTTATATACCTACCATGGTTAATCCGCAAGGCAGCGGGCGGTGGTTGGTAGGCGCGACGGCTCCACACGCCCATTGGGCCTATGCACCGGCCCCTCTGGGGTCCACTGCTACCCAAGATCCCCTGCTCATCTAGCCTGGGCCCACGAGCCACCAGTTACTGTGTGTTGCCACCAGGAGGCACAGCAAGAGTGTTGATGGTGAGGCTGTACTGGCAGGGGAAGACTTAATGCAAGTTGCTTCCTGTTCACGAGGGCTAGCCAGTGGTGGCAGCTGAAAGCGAGGGGAGAGAAGTTCTACACACACACACACACACACACACACACACACACACACACACACACACACACACACACACACACACACACACAGATTAGAGAAGGAGAGATAAAGGTGAGAGAGTAGAGAAGAGAGATATTAGAGAAGGAGAGAGAGTAGAGGTGAGAGAGAGAAGAGAGAAGAGAAGAGAGAGAGAGAAAGAGAGAGAGAGAGGTGAGAGAGTAGAAGAGAGAGATTAGAGAAGAGAGAAGAGGTGAGAGAGTAGAGAAGAGAGATTAGAGAAGGAGAGAGAGAGGAGAGAGTAGAGGAGAGAGAGAGAGTAGAAGAGAAGAAAGAGAGAAATTAGAGAAGGAGAGAGAGAGAAGAGGAAAGAGAAGAGAGAGATGAGGAGAGAGCAGAGAAGAGAGATTAGGAAGAAAGGTGAGAGAGAGAGAAGAGAAAAAAAAAAAAAAAAAGAGAAGAGAGAGAGTAGAGAAGAGAGAGAGTAGAGGAGAAGAGAATGAGAGAAGAGATAGGAGAAGAGGGAGAGAGCAGAGAAGAGAGAGAGTAAAGGAGAGAGAGGAGAAGAAGAGAGAGGAGAGAGAGTAGAGGCAGAGAGTAGAGAAGAGAGAGATTAGAGGAAGGAGAGAGAGTAGAAAGAGAGAGAGAGAAGAGAGAGAGAGTAGAAAAGAGAGAGATTAGAGAAGAGAGAGAGTAGAGGTGAGAGAGAGAGTGAGAAGAGAGAGATTAGAGAAGGAGAGAGAGTAGAGGTGAGAGAGAGAGAAGAAGAGAAGAGGAGAGAGAGTAGAGGAGAGAGTAGAGAAGAGAGATTGAGAAGAAGGAGAGAGTAGAAGTGAGAGAGGAGAGGAGAGATTAGAGAAGGAGAAAGAGTAGAGGTGAAGAGAGATAGAGAAAGAGAAGAGAGATTAGAGGAGAGAGAGTAGAGAAGAGAGAGAGAGTTGGAGAAGAGAGAGATTAGAGAAGGAGAGAGTAGAGAAGAGAGAGAGAGTAGAGGAGAGAAGAGAGATTAGAGAGAGGAGAGAGTAGAGGGAGAGAGAGAGAAGAGAGAGATTAGAGAGGAGAGAAGAGAGAGAGAGAGGTGAGAGAGTAAGAGAAGGAGAAAGAGTAGAGGTGAGAGAGAAAGAGAGAGAGGAGAAGAGTGAGGAGAGAAGAGAGAGAGAAAGAGAGGAGAGTAGAGATGAGAGATTGAGAGAAGAGAAGAGAGAGAGGAGAGAGTAGGAGAAGAGAGAGAGTAGAGGTGAGGAGAGAGTAGGAGAAGAGAGAAGGTAGAGAAAGGAGAGAAAGAGAGAGTAGAGGAGAGAGAGATAGAGAAGAGAGAGAGAGTAGAGAAGAGAGAGAGAGAGTAGAGAGAGAGAGAGAGAGAGAGAGAGAGAGAGAGAGGAAAAAAAAAAAAAAGTAGAGGGGAGAGAGTAGAAAAGAGAGAGATTAGAGAAGGAGAAAGAGTAGAGGTGAGAGAGGAGAAGAGAAAGAGATAAAGGTAAGAGAGTGGAAGCAGAAAGAGTAAGACAGAGAGAGAGTAGAGAAGAAGAAAGAGTAGAGGTGAGAGAGAAGAGAGAGATTAGAGAAGGAGAAAGAGAGAGGTGAGAGAGTAGAGAAGAGAGAGATTAGGAGGCGAGAAAGAGTAGAGGAGAGAGAGAGTAGAGAAGAGGAGATTAGAGAAGGAGAGAGAGTAGAGGTGAGAGAGAGATAAGAAGAGAGATAGAGAAGGAGAGAGAGAGGAGGAGAGAGAGAGGAGAGAAGAAGAGAGATTAGAGAAGGAGAAAGAGTAGAGGTGAGAGAGAGAGAAGAGAGAAAAAAGAGAAGAGGTGAGAGAGTAGAGAAGAGAGAGATTAGAGAAGGAGAGAGAGAGGTGAGAGAGTAGAGAAGGAGAAAGAGTAGAGGTGAGAGAGTAGAGAAGAAGAGATTAGAGGGAGAGAGAGAGGTGAGAGAGTAGAGAAGAGAGAGATTAGAGAAGGAGAGAGAGAGAGGAGAGAGGAGGTAGAGAGAGTAGAGAAGAGAGAGATTAGAGAAGGAAAGAGCAGAGGTAGAGAGCAGAGAAGAGAGAGATTAGAGAAGGAGAGAGAAGAGAGATGAGAAGGTGAGAGAAGAGAAGAGATTAGGGAAGGAGAGAGAGTAGAGAAGGAGGAAGAGAAGGAGAGAGAGTAGAGAAGAGAGGAGATAGATAGAAGGAGAAAGAAGAGAAGAGAGAGTATAGAAGGAGAGAGAATAGAGGTGAGAGAGAAGAAAGAAAGGAGAAAGAGAGAGAGAAAAGAAGAGCAGAGAAGAGAGAGATAGAGAGGGAGAAGGAGAGAGTAGGAGAGAGAGAGAGAAGAGAGAGATTAAGGAGAAAGAGTAGAGGTGAGAGAGTAGAGAAGAGAGAGATTAGAGAAGGAGAAAAAAAGAGCAGAGAAAAAAAAAAAAAAAAGAATTGAGAGAGAGTAGAGGTGAGAGAGCAGAGAAGAGAGAGATTAGAGAAGAGAGAGAGAAGGAGGAGGAGAGAGAGAAGAGATGAGAGAGTAGAGAGAGAGAGAAGGAGAGAGAGGAGGGAGAGAGAGAGAAGAGAAGAGAGAGATTAGAGAAGGAGAGAGAGAGAAAAAAGAGGTGAGAGAGAGAGAAGAGAGAGATTAGAGGAGAAAGAGAGAGAAGAGAGGAGAGAGAGAGAGAAGGAGAAAGAGTAGAGGTGAGAGAGTAGAGAAGAGAGAGATTAGAAGAGAGAGAGAGTAGAGGTGAGAGAGTAGAGAAGGAGAAAGAGAGAGGAGAGAGTAGAGAAGAGAGAGATTAGAGGAGAGAGAGAGAGGTGAGAGAGAGTAGAGAAGAGAAAGATTAGAGAAGGAGAGAGAGAGGAGAGAGAGAGAAGAGAAAAAGAGAGAGTAGAGGTGAGAGAGAGAAGAGAGAGATTAGAGAAGAGAGAGTAGAGGAGAGAGAGAGTAGAGAAGAGGAGATTAGAGAAGGAGAGAGAGAAGAGAAGAGAGTAGAGAGAAGAGAGAGAGTAGAGAAGAGAGAGATTAGAGAAAGAGAAAGAAAAGGTGAGAGAGTAGAGAAGAGAGATTAG